TTTTTTTTTTTTTTTTTTTTTTTTTTTTTTATCTTATGTATACAAAATAAACTAATTGTTTAGCTACGTTAAGTTCCCGTTCGAGTCCTTTAAATAATATTAGAACGATTAGAGTCCACTTACTCCGATTAGCTTTGTTAATCCGAAGGTTATAGCCATGGCTAGCCAACCTCCAACTAACACTCGGATGGACGACTTAACCGGTGATGCTTTTCCAAGGACCGCGCCCAACGACCCGAACACGAGGAGAGCCAACGTTACTGCTGCGACAACCACACCAAGCCTTACCTTATATTCTCTTATAAAGGAAGCTGCCAACACTGGCACCATTGCTCCAATAGAGAAAGCCAAGGCAGAGGCTATAGCGGCTTGAAGTGGGTTAGGCAGTTTTTCATTACCTTTGCTCTCTTGGCTTTGGCTTTGCCCATCTAGATGGCTACCTCTTTGTAACTTTTCTCTCTTCATTTGAGCTACTTCAATGTCTAATTGTGAGTAAACCGACACGAACTCGCCGATCGCCATACTACACGCACCGGCAACCAACCCAGCAAAGCCGGTCAGGATCATGGCCTTGATGTCTTGTTTCACGGCTCCAACTCCCATCATAAGCGACGCGGTCGAGACGAGCCCGTCGTTGGCACCGAGCACGGCAGCACGTAGCCATTGGGCACGTTTCGAGTAGTCGAATTGCTTGGTTTCAATGTCGGAGGGGGATTGTTGCTCCAAATTGCTTAGGTTTACCTTGTTGGGCTCCATTTTTGAAGAGAAAAGCAATGAAGTTTGAAGAAGAAGAAGAAGAGGAAAGGGGGAATTGTGGAAGACACACGCCTTAAAGAGAGTATTTATGGAGGAAAAACAAAAGCTTTTCATTTGGGGTTTGAAGAATAGACAACAAAGTGGAGTTCACACACAACAGCCACTTAAAGAAGGAAGACAGAGAACATAATTAATGACAAAAAAAGAAACAAACTTTTATGTTATTTATTATTATTTGTAATGGAGGCATTAATGATTCAGTGTCGTGTCGTTATTCTGGATGTTTGTGAGATCCCACGTCCACTGGAGAAAGTAACTGAGAACGTTTGCTTAATCCACCACTCCTATATAGTATGTGAAAGTTCCTAAATGATGTGTGAAAGTTCTATAGTACGGTAATAAAACAAATATTTAGATATTTGTCTTTAATAAAATATTAAATATGAGTGTGGAAACCTCTCTCTAAAAGTCGTGTTTTAAAATGAATCATTGCTTATGAGAGTCTGAAAACCTCTTTCTAACAGTCGCATTTTAAAATCGTGAGATTGATGATGATATGTAACGAGCGGACAATATCTACTAGTAGTGAGTTTAAGCTATTACGAATAATATTAGAGCTAAACACTGGGGGCGGATGCTAAAGAAAACGTTAGGCTCCCAAAAGAGTGGATTGTGAGATCTTGGAGAGAGGAACGAAATACTGCTGCTAAGGGTGTGAAAAACTTTACCGAACGAACTAAAACAAACAATATCTACGAGTGGTGGGTTTGAGCTGTTACATTATCAGTTGTATATTCATGAATTTTGAAAGTTTTCAACAACACCCTTCAATAAATTAAAAAAAAATGATCTTACCGCGTATTTTTTTTGGTACTATATTATTAAAACTTTTAAAAATCCAGAATATTTTTTTATTAATTTAACGGAAAAATATATAATTTAATTAAAAAAAAAAAAGAGTTTTTACTTTTCTAACCTTGAGACTACCGCATGATATTTTAAATTTTAAATTTTAAATTTTAAATGAATTATTTAGGATTCTAAAAAAAAGTTATTCAAAAGTGATATTTAGGAAATTAATTAAAAAATAAATAAAGAAAAAGAGTGGAAAAATGCAAATTCTATCCCCTTTGAAAGGGTAAAAAAGGGCTAACATGAGCTGATGGATCAAACATGGTGGCTTATGCCTCACATTAAAAAGGTTAATTAAATATTATTTTTTTTATTTTATTCAAATATTATTATTTTAAACCGCTACGTGAAGAATAT